AATTGATTAACATACATAAAGAAACCTAATTACCTCCCCTGCCAAAAACCAAAAACAAATAATAATGACTTATAGAGAAAGTGATGAGGCAGGAAGAGATAATCACTTATCAAGTTGAATACTTTAAGCACTATCAAAAGACAAAGAAAAAGCAAGTCAAAAAGGCATTCAATTCCATCATTATTTAGATAATAGCAATTTGAGGGGGAAATGAAGATGAATCATTTTCAGAAGTCTTTCATCTTAAAAAAATGTATAAAAAGGCAGGTGTTCGCAATTGTACTATAATAGTAGGAACCAACTTTCAAATGCCTTTAATAAGAGGAGGTTCAAATACCAAGACTTCTAAAAATATAAAAAGCACCCACTTGTATCCATTTCAGAGAGGACTAATTTTCAAAATATCATTAAAGGGAACGAAAGCCAAACAGTAGTGGGCAAAGTTAAAGGAAATTCTAAATATAAGCTCATGGAACAACATTAACATTTACTGAGTACCTACATCGTGCCTGGTACCTCTCTATTCCCATTGCTACCACCTTAAGGCCTATGTTATCTCTCGTCTGGATCATTTTAATAGCATTCTAACAAGTTATATAACAAGTATCTTAACATCCATTTTCTTTTCTCCAATCCAACCTGCACACTGACACCCAAAGTGCTTTTTCTAAAATGAAAATTTGATGTTGATCTTTTATTCAGAATCCTTGAACAGATCCCACAGTCTATATAATACAAATGTCCAAACTCAAACTTCTATGATCTGATTTCTATCTACCTTTCCAGTCTTTTCTCTCACTGCTTCCCACGCCCACCCTTACTCTACACCACTATCTCCTTACACTCCATTATTTATGTGTAACTATCTGAGGTTCCTAAAACTTGCAATGCTGTTTTATACACCTGTTTTTTTCCTGCTCCTCCCCACTGAATGGCCTTCACCTTTTGCCCTCATAGCAATGCAAACAGCTACACACGTGTATTTTCAACATCAGTTCAAGTCCTCAAATATTAACTTCCCATCCCCAAACTTTTCCAAGAAAGAACTGACTACTCCTTCCTGTACAGGGTGCCTGTATCGATTTCTATTATAGGACCCATTTTATTGTATCTACTTGCTTAACATATGCTTATTAGACTACAGGCTCCTTGGGAGAAGGAACCTGGTCTTATTGTTAAAATTCTTCACTGCCCACCAATTAAAAGCTACAGTCTATCATCCATTGAGTTCCATCATTTATTTTCTTGAAATGTCTGTTTCATTCCACAATCATCACCCTATTATGTGTCCTCAACCTCCATTTTGATGCCAGACTAACTTTCCAAAAGCCCACGTTCATCATACAAGAGCCCCATTCATGGTATTTTATTCATGCTATTTTAAATTCAGATGCTTCCAATTACCTTTAATGGCTCTCCATAGGCTGGCCCTACCCTATCCGCCCAATTTGAACTCATTATCTAGCCAATTTCTTCATCATACCTTGAGTCTGGTACATAAATTCTTACCTTTCCCTTCACCCAAATTGTTTCATCCTACATTCACACCTCATTCTTACTTAATCCAAACTATCCTTTAAGGGTCAATAATTTTTTTTCCATTAAAACTATACCTGAATGCTCCATCCTCCATTTTTCAACCACATACCACGGCAAATACATTCAGTATCAGTCACATCTGCAATTTATTATTTTAAGAATGTTACTTTCTTCTCCCCAAGTGGACTATCACCTCCTTCAGGTAAATCTCTTATATATCCCATGGTATTTCCTTTTCAATCCCTGACAATTCTCAGTTACTGTGATAGTAAGCTATCATAACATGGTACAGTGTTTTAAAAACTTGTAAGTTTAAAAAAACTTTTTTAACTAAAAAAATTCTCTCTTTAAATTAATTATGTTGTACCCAACACATAAAAGAGGTAAAAGGAGAGGGACTCTCAAATGGGATGCAGGGAGGGCTTGGAGTGCTACCTGTCTCACCTTCCCCTACTTGCTTAACCATATGGTAGCCCTGGGGCACCTCTGCCAATTTCCAGGGGCTCCTTGGAATAGAATTTGAAAACTACTCTGTTTAAGTTCTAGCTGTAACACTTACTAATCATGCATCCTCGGGTAATCACAAACTCTAAGCTTCAGTTTCCTGAGATAATGAATATGTATGAGAAAGGCCTGTATAAACTTAAAAGCTTTCTATAAATTTGAGGAATTTACAACTTCACAAGCCATAAGCTAAACGGGTTACATTATACAATCTTAACAGTTACATCACACAATGGTACTGATTGTGAAAGCATTCTGTATTTTAAAATCTAGTTTTATTTTAAATAAAATAAGGCATTCTAAACATCATACAATTCTGGGAATCCTAGGTCCTCTGCCTTGTTACTTAGAATTAACTTTCTAATCTGCATTCGGGGGCAATAAAGTGTAATGACTAAGAGTACATGCTTTTGAGTTGGGCAGACTTGGTTTGAAGGCCAGCTTCACCACTAATTAGGTGTGTATACTTGGATAAGTTATGTAACTTCCCCAAGCTTTAACTTCCTCATCTCAAAAATGAAACCAGCACTATCAACAGAAAAGTTGCTGCTAGATTAAGGAAAACAATCTGAACAAATTGTTTAGCACAGAGTATGAAACCTAGTGAGAAATCAGTAAGTTTACTATTATTTTCCTCTTGGGAAGAACTGTGGGAGAGTTGAAGCACTTTGCATTAAAGTAGCATTGAACATTCCTTTTTCTTTTTCTCTTGGGCAAAGGGTCATAGCACTAAAAACAAAATACAGTAAGTCTATAAATGAAAGAACATGACACCTTTGACGGCTCAGAGTGCCAAGTTATAAAACAGTTGGTTTCTTTCCAGACATCCTATAACAATTAAATAGCATTTCTTTCCTGCTGGATTTTCTAAATCCTCTTTAAAGTATAGACAATGTCTTGTTTGTATTAATATACTCTCACCATACACTTCAAAAACAGCAAATAATCAGTAAATATTTATCAAATTAAATAGATTTCCTACATTCAGAAATTCACCATATAATGAATAACTTTAAAGCAATTACCTCTTTTCAAATTGGAATGCTTGCTTTCTATGAGAAATATTACTGATCATGGGCTATTTCTCATAAAAGCTGAAGCTTAAAGTGCAATTTTAGGAAAGATGCTAAATTAAATATAAAATCATTCTTAAATTGAAAAGGGAAACTTCACTATCTTTAAAATTATAAACATAAATGTGTACAAGTACTTCCAAGAATACTTCTTGCCAAACAAAATTAAGTAACTGATAGGAAAAGTGTTAGAGTTAAACAAAACAAGGCAAGTGTACACTATGTAGTTTTTTTTAAAGTAGAGATATATGTAACCAATATGGAAAGATGTTCAAGAAACATCTAGGTGAAAAAAGCAAGTTGCAAAAAAGAATATGTGTGATATGAGTCCATTTGTGCTTGTGTACTTTTAAAGAAATACAAACAAGTCTGTTTGTCCAACAGAAAATTTTCTGAAGACTATTCAAGAACCCTATTCACATTCTGTAATAATATAATTAAGAAAGGAAGCCAAATTGCTATCAATTTATTATTCCATAACATGGAAACTGATTTTTTTTAAGTTTTATAAAATGGAAGATTTAAACCCTCATGTGGCTCTAAGCCATTCTCAAAGAGATTTGATAGAGCATTTAGGAGTTTTTATGACAATCTCTATCAGTGCACTTTAAATAGAAGAAAGGTTCATTGATTAGAAAAACAAAATATTTGCTTAAAAAGACAAAGGACATTTAAAAAATTTCCCAAGTGCTTAATATATCTATTCATGTTACTTTGACATATGTACATTGAAAATCAACTGGGGAAATCACTACTTTATATTAGCATTATAAATATATTTATTCCTGTTACCTTTTGCTTTACTTAAATGGTCCAACAATATGAAGAACTAAGATACTTTAGAGTTTTTTTTCTTTTACAAAAGAATGAAGTCACTTTGGCAGAGTAATACTGTAACCTGGTAGCTGCTTTCCCAATTCTCTTAACAGCTACATGGAATATTAAGTGCTTAAATTTGAAACCATGACAACAGGAAAAGAACCTCCCCCAATAAACCCCCTCAAAATGGCATTTTAGATAACTAGAAAAGGTTTAAATATACAAACTCTTAATTTAGATCAGAGATCGTATGTTTTTCTCTTATGTTCAAAAGGGTCAAAAAGATATCTACCATATTACATTTCTATATCAATATTAAATAATGTTCTCTTATCCAAGAACAATGGACCAGAAGACAGATATAAATACTATTCCTGGCTCTGCCACTTAACTGGGCAAGTCATTGAATGCCTCTGACCCTAAGTTTCCCCATCTATAAAATAAGAGAGTTGACTGGATTACCTCTAAGGGCCCATTTCCAAGTCTTACTTGCTTTATGACAGTGAAAAATATCAAGTAAGAGACACTTTTATTTGCTGATTTTTAATTGTTTTATAAAAACAAAGAATGTTAAGGAAGAAACAATTAAACCTGATATGTAATTATTAAAATTATATATGCCCTCTACTGGAGGTTATTAAAAGAGAACTATACTATTTCCTTTAAGGTTTCTACTCAGAAACCTTTTTCTGCAGGGCTGAGCTTTTTATTTGGCAAAAAATATGTATTTCAGATTACACTATCTTTTTTTGGGGGGGTAGGTAATTAGGTTTTTATTTATTTATCTTTAATGGAGGTACTGGGGATTGAACCCAGGACCTTGTGCATGCTAGGCATGCACTCTACCACTGAGCTGTACCTTCCCCACTCAGATTACACTGTTTTTTTTTTTTGTGGTGTTATGTGGAGAACTGACCAAACACCTTCTCGTTTAAATATAATTTTATTCTCTTTGAAAAATTCTGAAATATAGCCTTAACCAGATGACTAACTTTCATAGCAACAGTAAAATTTCCTTGGACCATGTTAGGGGTTTTTTTAAGCTAATAATCTAAAGATGTTTACCTTTGGCAGCATAGGAGTATCCCTTTTCTTCTTCTTTTCTGAATTAGGATCATCTAACAAGTCTGGCTCAAAAGTATAAAGTTCAGTAAGCTCATTCATGGTAAAATGACGTTCAACTTGCTGTTGATCAACAACTCGAAAAGACAGTGACTGCTTAGTTACTTGCCGATCATAAATCTTATCTTCCATGGTTCCCTTTATAAAAAGAAGAAACAATTTTGTAAACATGATACTTAATCATGGAGAAATACAGTTATTGGTTAATATGAAATAGCAAAACCTCATAGTAATATACTTTCATGAAGCAAATTTTATGAGCAGTGCTGCTTAATTCATGAGACATTTTTTGTTCAGAGTAGTTTACCTTGACAAAAAAAAAAGAAAACCACATTACTGACAATCATTCTATATTTTTTAATCAATATGAATTCATGTGTTGCTTTATATATTTCTATATTTGGTGGAAGTAGGAGAGCAGTCAGATATCAAGATAAACAGAATAAAAGAGTGCATGAAGTAAGATTTTAGGAGGTTATTGATGTAAGAATGCAAGAGAGCAGTTTTAATTCCTTTTCAGTGGACTGTAATAAACTCTCAACAATCACTATGAACTGCCTTTATACAAAGTCTTACTTTCTATAACTTCAGGACAAAAAATAACTAAAATGCCGTACCTACTATATATTCTACATAACATTCTGAACTAGACTATGAAGGAGCTCTTAATTTTAATAATAGAAAAGAATTTATAGTATAGTTTATCAATTATATTATGTACTCTAATGTATGAGAAAGAATCTACCAATAAAACTCAGTCCCTGGTTGAGAAGCCAAGAGTTGGAGGCACGTAGAAAGGGTTGCATCTGCTCTCAAAGAAGATGTACAAATTACAAAGGCAACTTGATTCTATAAACCTGTATTACACTGAATTGCATCCACCTCTTTGATTTAATTTATTTCCATTAAATTTCAGTTTCTGTTTTTTAATACCTGAGTTTATACTTAAAGGAAATTAATATTCTTGACTAGAAAGTATTAAATATTACTTATAATGATTTTTCATTATTTATAATACATTAACCTTTTCTTCCACATTCTTCAAACTAAGAATATCTAGTCGCCATTCAAAACAATGATCATTTGACCTTTACATCTATAAGCAAAATAAATTTAGTTACTGGCTTTTCTATGTGCACTAATTAAAAAAACTGTAAATGTTTAATTTTCTTGAACTAGCAAGAAAATACTAAATCTGTTTACCTATGCAAATTCATCTCAATCTGAGAAAGGTGACATTAGAGACCTGGAAAACTACAAAACAGAAAATCATGAGAGACCAAAATTGACTTCTGCTGCTTTATGAATAGGAATGGTGTTTTCAATTTCGTCTGCCTGTCTATAATACATGTATGTTTTGAACTCCAAAAATATTATCACTTTCATCCAACCTTTCAATATGAAAAAGAAAATATAAATTATAAACCCACCTGAGCTAAGAACCTATATACATACACAGGCTTAGTTTGTCCAAAGCGATAAACTCTGAATATACTCTGGATGTCATAAGATGGATTCCAAGAAGCATCAAATATAATCACTCGATTAGCAGCTACCAGATTAATTCCAAGAGATCCTGCTTTGGTGGAAATGATAAACAATCGCCCTCTGAAAATAAAATTATAGAATGTTTAGTAATGAGTGCTTCACAGATATTTTATTTATCAATGACTTTTTAATCCTAAGGTAGTTTTTTGAACAATCAAGAATTCAGAGAATTCATTTCTCACTTACTTAAAAAAAACAAGACATGCCTAAGAAGTCAGGTTGATGATTTATATGCTCAAGAAGAATCTTATTGCTGGAAAATGAACTAGTATGATTTAGGAATAAAGATAAATATACAAATCACATGTTTACAATGCACTCAAGGTATTTATACTCAGAAATCTATGTACAACTAAAAAAAAACATTGTGTTCACTACTGTTATGAGCACTAAGTACATCAAAATGAAGAACACTGCCCAAGGAGCTGAGTGTAGTAGGGGTGACTGATGGGTAATTATAATACAGTGTAATAAAAGTAAGGAGAAAAGTCAGATACATACAAGATACTGAGGTAACTAAAATAGGATAAAGAAGACACAGGGCTCCAGGAAGAATGTAGTCAAGAAAACAAATGAAACTGATAGATTACCTGCTGCACTGGAACACAAGAATTGATATTTCTGTAGGAGATTTTGGGAATGAATTAGCAATGGTCACAGAAAACTAAGCAAATGGTAAAAGTAAACCATTACTTAACCTTTAATGAAAAAAATATGAATATGAATATTTGTATGTATATGTATGACTGGGACGTTGTGCTGTACACCAGAAATTGTCACATTGTAATTGACTGTACTTCAATTTAAAAAACACATTAAAAAAAGTAAATGATTACTTCAACAAAACTGAACAGGTGTACAAAAAAGGAAAAGTAATCTTAGTATTTTAAATGGCTTAGGTGTGAATATTTACAATCACAAAAAAGCAAACACTCCAAATTGATTTAGGCAAGTATTGTGAAAAAAATGTATTGGGAAAATAAATGTGGAAAAGTGTGCATGTGCATGTGCAAGTATTGTGAAAAAATGTATTGGGAAAATGAATGTGGAAAAGGGTGCATGTGCATGTGAGTAAACTCCCATCTCAGACTGTAGAAAGGATGTATGTAAGGAAAGGCCAGAAGAATTGCCAAGAGTTGAAATTGGTTACCTGCAGAGAGTAGAAATCATGCAAGGAAGGTACTGGTCAAGGGACTGATTTTTACTTTAAGTCTTACAAAACTATTTTTAAATAGGTAACACATTAATTTTATATAAATAAAATTTAATTTAAAAAGATTATATATAACATTTTAAAAATATATAAATAAGTTTAAAGAAAAAGATTACTCAGTTCCAGTACCCAGAAATAAGCTCCATTCAAATTGTAGAATAGATAAACAAGATTATACTGTATAGCACAGGGAAATATACACAAGATCTTATGGTAGCTCACAGAGAAAAAAATGTGACAATGAATATATATATACATGTTCATGTATAACTGAAAAATTGTGCTGAACACTGGAATTTGACACAACATTGTAAAATGATTATAGATCAATAAAAAAGGTTAAAAAACAGAAAAAAAAAGAATAAGCTCCATTCAAATCATTGTACATTTCCTATAGGTTTCATTTTTCCTAAGCATATACATTTTTGGTTTTATTCAGACAATATCTGTGTATACAGTTTAAATTATGAGCATTTCCTCAAATTTCTTGGTAAACATCATGCTTGGTAGCTGCATAATATTTGACTGGATGACTATATAACGTATTTATTGTTGGCAGCTTAGAGTAAGGAAAATCCTGGGATATACAGTAAGCACTCAGCAATCTCCTCCACAAAATGCCATTTTAACCAAGCGTTAGTTTCTAGTATCTCATGACAGAAAATAACTAAAATCCCATACCTATTACAGATATAGTATTATAAACGAGAATGCAAAGAAGCTCAAAATTTAAATAATGAGAAAGAGCTTTTAAGTAAGAAAAATCCTGTTACAAAATGAACAAAGGTACTAAAGTCATGTTTTATATCAACTTGGAGCTACTATATGTCTAGGAATATAGACTATAGGAATTATCAGAAGTGCAAGAAAATATATGCATCACACTTATTTATAAGGGCATATATCTGAAAATTAAAAAACATGTATAACACAGAGGACTAAATTACGCTCTGGCTGTTCAACAGGTTACGTTACCATTAAAAATGTACAATATTGTGTGAATAAAGGTAGGATACAGAATCTCATTTAGTATAATTACAACTGCATTAAAAAATAAAACATATACATACACACTTGTTAACAGTGGTGATCTCTGGTCAATGTGATTATATTATTTTTCCTCTTTATACTTATCTGTAAAATGTACTCATTACAGAGAACAAATTGTGCTTTCTTTAATTAGTAGACATATTTAAGGGTTTATGGGCAAATGTTGCTCCAAAATTATGTCAGTTACTTAGATCTACTTTATACCAGCAAAAGGATCAAGTATACAGAATGGTATGAACTATGCAGGTTAAAAAAACACACGCACAAGAAAAGAGGAAATCTAGTACAGAACTTTAAAAACTCTTTGGTATCTATCCACTAATGAAGAGTTGAATGGGTTTAATAAGATTGTTTATCAAACTATTAATCCCAAGTACTGAGCTACTCTAGGACTACAAAACATGAAAAAATATCTGGTCAGTACGCTAAAGGAGACCACCAACTATGGAAAAAAAAACAACAGACATATAAAGAACTGTGATGGAGCCTAATTTGCAATAACATAGGTATTTATTTACAAGGTATAGATGTGGTCAATGAGATATTTTGGTTTTTAAAAGCATAATAGTAGAAAGTAGTAAATAATTTTGATCTGAAAAGAAAAATAAACAAAGGAACAGAGTCAAGTAACTGAACTGGTATCAAAAACTACTTTACAATTAGTTAACCTTTAATATTATTCAGTCTGGAAGATGTAAGTTCATAATCAGATAAATGAACCATAATATGTTTAGTTTCTTAATACTAAATGTTAGTATTAAAGTGTACACTAAAACAAACACAATTAAAATATGAACCATTATTTGAACAGTACTGCTATAAACCTTTTTGGCTTATATTTTTTGGTTAAAACAATGTAAGTATTTCTAAGAGCAGAATTGCGAGGTCATAGGGTATGTATATGGCACTGTTAAAACTGAACAAATAGTTCTCCAAAGTGGTTATAACAATTTACATTTGCAGCAGCAGTATGTGAGAATTCTAGATGTTCCAGATCCTTGACAACTCATAGTATTGCCTTTTCATAAATTATAACATTTAAAAAATTGCTTAAAGTTCACAAAGAATTTTCAACAATAGTACAGAGTTCCTCTGTACCCTTCATTTAGCTTTCCCTAATGGTAATAACTTACATAACCATAGTACATTGTCAAAAACAGGAAAGTGACATTGGTACAATACTATGAACTCAGGTACAGAGTTTATTTGGATTACACCAGTTTTTATACATACTTTAATTGTTTAGTGTATAGCTCTATAAAGTTTTATCATATATGTAGAATCACATAATCATTACTACAAGCAGGAAACAGAACTGTTCCATCACCCCATAAAAAAACCTCCTTTGTGTTATCCCTTAGTATTTACACCCTCCTTTTAATCCTAATCCCTGGCAACCACGAATTTGTTCTTCATCACTGTAATTTTGTCACATCAAGAATGCTGTATGAATGGAATCATAATAATACGTAAACTTTTGAGACTGGCATTTTTTACTCAGCATAATGCCCTTGAGATCCATCCAAGTTGTTGTTTGGATCATTATCAATAGTTCATTCCGGGGGGAGGGGATAGTGCAAGTGGTAGAGCACATGCTTAGCATGCATGAGGTCCTGGGTTCAATCCCCAGCACCTCCTCTAAAAAATAAATAAGCCCAATTACCTTCCCTCCCCCACAAAAAAACCCAATAGCTCATTCCTTTTCACTGCCAAGCAGAATTTCATTATATGGATGTACCACAATTTGTTTACCCATTCAGATGTTAAAGGACATTTGGGTAGTTTCCAGTTTTTGGCTATTACAAATAAAGCTGGTAAGAACATCTGTGTATAGGTTTCCATGTGAAAATAAGTCTTCATTTCTCTAGCATAAATTTTCAAGAGTGTGATGATAGGGTTTTATGACTAAGTATATATTTAATTGTTTAGTTTAAAAAAACCTTACTAAATTGTTTTCCAGGAAGAGTGGCTGTGACATTTCACTTTCTCACCAGCATTTTAGGAGAAAACAAGTTTCTTTGCAACCTCACCAGCATTTGGTAGTAAGTGATATCTTGTGGTTTTAATTTACATTTCCCTGTTAGCCAGTCGTGTTGAATATCTTTTCATGTGCTTATTCGCCAGGCATAGATCCTCTTCGGTGAAGTGTTAGTTAATTCATTGGCTCCTCTTCTAAATGTAAATTGTTTTTTTTTGCTGTTACATTTAGATAATTCATATATTCTAGATATGAGGACTCTGTTAGATGTTCAACTTCAAATACTTTCTCAAAGTCTGTGGCTTCTCTCCCTCTTCTTAACAAAGTCTCTAGCAGACAAAAGTTTAATTTTGATTGTCCAGTTACTGATTTTTTTAATGGATTATATGCTTTTCATGTCATGACAAATAACTCTTGCCTAACCTCAGTTCCTTAAGATTTTTGTCTATGATTTCTTAAACAAATATAATTTTTTTTGCATTAGGTTTACAATCCATTTTGACTTGATTTTTCAATGGGGTGAAGCTTAGTTTAAGCTTTGTTTTCAGCCTACGAATACCCAATTGTTTCAACACCATTTGTTGAAAAGGTTATCCTCCCTCCATTGAGACACTCTTGCACCTTTGTCAAAAATGTTTTTAACTTGCATTTCTCTAAGATTAATAAATATGAGCACCTTTTCCTATGTTTATTGGCCATTTGGATATTAGCTTTTGTAAAGTCTTTCCCAGGTTTCTCGCCCATCTTTCAATGGGGGTTGTCTGGTTTAGCCTACTGATTTTTAAGAATTCATTATACATTGTGGATAAGAGTTTTTGG